AAAGCATATATGTGGAAATTCATTAGTAATTGATAGAATTGCATAGGATTGCGACAGTGTTGGCTAAACCCTAGTTTTCTCTAAATTGTTAGTCTTTAAAAAGAAATCGTTTTTCTTCTTTGCTGTTATTATTTCCCAACGTTCAGATTTCTTTTACTGTTAGTTTAATCTTTTCAAATTCATGAACTTCAAATCTTTGATAAAATCTATTTTAGTTATTAATTAAGAGTTAGTTTAATTACATAATAGTCAAACACTCTTTGGGGACAACGACCTTGCATGAGCATTTATACTATAATTACCTTGTATTCTTGCAAGTATTTTCAGTGATTTTAATCCTGTTTGTGCAAGTACTAAAAATCCTATCAAGAAATTTGCGCCGCTGCCGAGGATTGTTTTAACTAATTTGTTTTTATCATATTCTAAGTTGATTTTGTTTATACTTTTTCTGTTTTTTTATTTTTTTTATATATAATTTTTAATTTTCGTCAAAATATTAATATAAAAAAATAAAAAAAATTGAACAGTTCCGTTTCTGTTTCAAGTTCTGCAAACTGCATGGTCCAGACCAGATCAGGAACTGCACAGCTTGTACAGTTTGATCCAAAACCAGAGCACAGTTTGCATAGACAACGAAGAGAAGTTAATCGGGCCTGGGACTGTTCACTGCAGGGCACTTTTTTGAAAAATTTGCTTGCAGACGAGGGAAAAATGGCGTTGGCAATACCTGCAGCAAGCAGACCACTCAAAGATTCGTTGGCTGCCCGTGCAAATGATGTTCCTAATTGCATAGTCTATCCCACCCAGGAAGAGGGAGACACATTTGAAATCAAGCACCACATGCTTGAGATTTTACCATCCTTCCGTGGGCTGCCTAATGAAGATGCAAACATACATATTGCAAAATTTATTGTGGGTTGCAAGAATATTTTGATTAGGGGTTTTTCTACTGAAGCTATCAAGTTACGTCTTTTTCCTTTCACTTTGAAGGACAAGGCAGAAACTTGGTTATTTACTCTACCAGCTAATAGCATTACTACTTGGCAGCAGTTACACATAAAATTCCTGAACAAATATTATCCAGCATCCAAGACATTGAATTACAAGAGGGAGATTTTGACATTCACATAGAAGCCTAATGAAGAGTTTCATGAAGCATGGGAGAGATATACAGAGATATACATAAAGTGTCCACATGTTAATATTGATTCAGATACACAGATGAATATTTTCTTTGATGGGCTTAATCCTACATCTAAGAGCCATGTGAATGCATCAGCTGGAGGATCATTGTCAAATAAATCTGCAAGAGAGGCGTTTGAACTGTTTGATATGATGGCTACAGAATCTTAGCAATGGGCGGCAGAACATTCACAGAAAATGGGAATTTTTGAGTTATCAGCAGGATCTCCTAACATGTCTGCACAAATGGCACAAATGGAGAAGAAAATTGATGCAAAGTTTGATATGATTCTACAACATATAGCAAGTTTTACACAGTAGCCACCTGCAACAACAATTTGCACTATTTGCAGCCTGGCTACACACAATATAATGGGCTGCCCACATAGAGAGTTTTACCCAAAGCTTGTTGAACAACATGTTAATATGATGAACAGCTATCAAAGGCCTAGGAATGATGCATATACCACTCATTACAATCCTGGATGGAGGGATCACCCTAATTTCAAATGGGGTGACAATCAGAATAATACAAAACCATTCCAGCATGCACAAAAACCTTTTGTTCCCTCCAAACCATCTCTGGATGAACAACTCGCTAAATTGGCAACAACAACTCAATCATTCATCGAGAGCAACAATCAAAGATTTCAAAATGTTGAAGCATCAATTAAAAGTTTGGAGCAACAATTTGGCTAGCTAGCTGCACAGATTTCAGACAGAGAAAAAGGTAAATTTCCTAGTCAAACAATTCCTAATCCAAATGGACGTGAAGATTGCAACTTTGTTCGGACTTTACGATGTGGAAAAAGCTATGATAATCATGAACATGGCATTGAAAAGGAGCAGCCAACAGTGGACTATAATACAGAAATTTTTGCAACAGCAAAACCTGCCAAAATTGCATAAAAACATAATCTGGTAGATTTAGAAACTGTTCCAAAAAAGATTTCTGAACGTGTTTATGAGGCCCCAATTCCATATCCAGAACATTTGAAGCCAAAAGCAAAAGATCAGCAACTCAAGGACTTCATGTAGACATTATCCAAGGTTCAAATCAACATTCCATTACTGGATGCAATCAAGCAACAAAAAGAAACTTTCAGATTTGGAAAAAGTCATTTTGACAGAACAGTGCAGCTCAGTTTTGCTACACAAATTGCACCTAAGAAAAAAGATCCAGGGAGCTTTAATATTTCTTGCATTATTGAAAATTCTAATTTTAAAAGTGCTTTAATTGATTTGGGTGCAAGTATTAATTTGATGCCTTTTTCTGTTTTCCAGCGATTGGGGCAAGGAGATTTAAAGCCTACATCAATGATACTTCAACTCGCTGACCGTTCAATTATCCAAGAGGTGTTATTGAAAATCTAATTATAAAAGGTTGATAATCTTTACCTACCGGCAGATTTTGTGGTTCTAGACATGGACGAAGACCTTCAAACACTTATTATTTTGGGGAGGCCATTTATGGCCACTGCTAGGACTTTAATTGATGTGGAAGTTGGAACATCGACTCTACGTGTTCAAGACCAATCTGTGGTATTTAATTTGTTTGAGACTGCAAAACGGCCTACAGAATAGCAAGACTGCATGCACATTGACATGGTAGACAGTATGGTTCAAGACAAATTTTATGGCAACTCAAAAACAGATCAGTTGCTACATATTTTACAAGGGGAACTTGGGGCAAATTCTGAAGATGAAGGTGTTCTTGAGTACATTCACGCATTGAACAGTCTGCCAACAATGTTGCCAAAGTTTAGAAATGTTTACGAGAATTTAGGGGAACCTAAACAGCCCCTTAAACCGTCCAGACAACAGCCACCAAAACTGGAACTAAAGCCTTTACCAAAACATATGAAATATGCATATTTAGGAGCTGCAGAGACGCTGTCAGTTATAATTGCAGCAGATTTAACACCTACAGAGGAAGATAAATTGCTTCGTGTGTTGAGAAAATATCAAGATGCATTGGGATGGACAATTGTGGACATCAAGGGAATTAGCCCAGCACTATATATGCACAGAATATGAATGGAAGACAATGTGAAGCCAACAGTTGATGCTCAATGCCGCCTTAACCCAATTATGAAAGAGGTGGTCAGAACAGAGGTCATGAAATTACTTGATACAGGTATGATTTATCCTATTTCTGACAGTAAATGGGTTAGCCCGACTCAAGTTGTGCCTAAGCGGACTGGTGTTACAGTGGTGAAAAATGATAATAATGAGTTAATTCCTACACGATTGACTACAGGATGGAGAATGTGTGTAGATTACCAGAAGCTTAACACAGGGACAAGAAAAGATCATTTTCCTTTACCCTTCATTGACCAGATGTTGGAAAGGTTAGCTAAGCGTGCTTTTTACTGTTTTCTTGATGGTTATTCTGGGTATAATCAGATTCCAATTGCACCAGAGGATCAAGAGAAAACCACTTTCACTTGTCCATTTGGTACTTATGCTTATCAGAGGATGCCGTTTGGATTATGCAATGCACCTGCTATGTTTCAATGTTGTATGATGAGTATTTTTTCTGGCTTGGTCGAAAATATTGTGGAAGTTTTTATGGATGATTTTTCTATTTTTGGGGATTCATATGGTCAGTGTTTATAGAATTTATCATTAGTTCTTGAGAGATGCCAAGAGACACATTTAGTGCTAAACTGGGAGAAGTGTCATTTCATGGTGAAACAAGGAATTTTCTTGGGTCATTCAATTTCTAGTAAAGGCATTGAAGTTTCTAATAGGGAAATTAAGCGCATCTTAGAGAAAACAGTGAATGCCAGCCGCAAAAACTGGAGTGTTAAGTTGAATGATGCTTTATGGGCCTACAGTACAGCGTATAAAACGCCAATTGGGATGTCCCCCTTTCGGCTTGTTTATGGTAAAGCTTGTCATCTACCTATGGAGCTTGAACACAAGGCTTATTGGGCAATTAAGGAGCTTAATTATGCCTATGATGCAGCTGGAGAAAAAAGAAAATTACAGTTGCACGAGTTGGAAGAACTCCGGAATGACGCATATGAAAGTTCAAAGATATACAAAGAGAAAACAAAAGCATTCCATGACAGCAAAATTCTCCGAAAACAGTTTCAGCCAGGTCAGAAGGTTCTATTTTTCAATTCAAGGTTGAAGTTATTCCCTGGAAAATGAAAATCTAGGTGGCAGGGTCCCTACAATGTTACTAAAGTCTATCCACACGGCGCTGTGGATATTACAAATGGGAAGACCGGTTTCGAGTTTAAAGTAAATGGTCATAGACTCAAACACTGCTTGGAGGCGCCGTTTGACAGTGCAACCGAGTCGGTGACTCTGAAGGAACCGGTGACTTGACCACCAGGCTTCTGCAAAGTCTAACTACAGACTTAAAATAAAGCGCTCATTGGGAGGCAACCCAATTTTTCTAAACTCTTTACTCCTTTTAATTTCAAAAAAATAAAAATAAATAAATAAATATATATATGTTGTTGTTTTCTTTAACTAGATGTTTTTATTTTCTTTCTACTCCTAACACATCATTAATTCAATGCAGGACACAACAATCAGCAGCAAACATCAAAAGCAGAAAAATCCTAGGCTGGAATCATGCACCCAGCAGCAAGTCTACACAGGGAACGACATAACAATCAGCAACAAACATCAAAAGCAAAAAAATCCTAGGCTGGAATCCTGCACCCAGCAGCAAGTCTACACTGGAATCATGCACCCAGCAGCAAGTCTACCAAATTTCCAACAACAAAAATTTGCAGGGAGTCGAAATTATACCTATGAGATACATGGATTTGGGGTCCTCAGGGCTTTTTGCTGTTTCGTCCTTTGAGCTTGTATGTTTATTGCCCTTTCCCTTGAATCTCTCTTGGATCCGCAGACCTTACACAACGAGCACCAATATGAGTACCTTTAGGGACAAAGATCACACATCTCTACATATCACACATCTTTACAGATCAGGACCCAAAACAAATTCTGGAATTACTCTTACCTTCGGATGGATATCGGAAGGCAATGGTACTGCGAGATCGAGGACCACCATTGATGCATGTGGACGTTAGTGATGGTGCTGGCAGAGGTTTGGGACAGAGGCATGTACCAAGAGGCATCCTCCACCTTCAGATCAGGCTCCTTAAGTTCGCATGGAGACAGTCAACAGAAACAACAGACCCATTTGTAAATACAAATTGTGTTGTAAACTCTGCTCGTGCCCCAGCTAGTAACGAAGCCATTGCACGAGGAACCCAACCAGATGCTTTATATTTCGTATAGGCAGGGTCAGCTCGTAAGTGTTCTATCCCCCTCTTGAACAGAGAAGAGAAAATTTGAGGGCTTTTGACAGAGTGAGTATGAAGCAGAGTGGAAAAGGCGATGATGACCCAAGAGAGTCCTTGCTATAAGATCTACAAAGCATTCGAATTTGGGTTGGGAATCCAACAGAGATGCTGGTTTCGATTTTGACAGAAGAAGCAAACGACTTTGGGTTTGAGAGAAATGACAAAGCCGGAGAAGAGATGGAGTGGACAGCTCAGTTTGAAAAGGAACTGACCCGTAGCTACTATCCCATTATATTGTATCTGTTGCTCAAATAGGACACGAGTGTGGACTTCTCCGAGTCGGTCAGCGCCTCTTTGCAAATTCGCGGCCACCAGGTTCTGCGCTCGAACCCCTGAAGTGTCAAATTTCATGGTATTTTCTAGGGGTGGTTGCGGTTCGGTAACCGCGAATTTTTACTCAAACCGCAAACCGACCGACTATTTGAGGTTTGGTGATTTTTGAAACCGTAAACCCACCGCGTTTTGCGGTTTAAAACCGCGAGTTCTCAAGCATTCACAAAAATATAAATTCACAACCTAAATAAATAAATACACAATCTCAATTTCTCAAACATATATAAATTCACAATCTCCTCAACTTCTCAAGCATTCACAACCTAAGAAAATTAAAGTTACAATTCCAAGCATTCCAATTAAAGTTAAACTTCTCAAGCATTCCAATTCCAAATCCTTTAAAGTTATAAACCAAAAGGAAAATGCAAAGCAAAATGAATTAAAGTTACAACAAAAAAGAAAAATCCAATTCAAAGTTAATTAAAGTTACAAACTAAAAGGAAAATCAATGCACCAATGTTACAAACTAAAGTTACAAACTCAAGTGTTGGTGGTGAGTGGATTTGAAGAACCCCGTTGTGTTGTTTAAGCACCAATGTTATCTACAAATAAAACAACATAGTTTAGTACATTTTATTATAAGAAGAAGCATAAATAACATT